CTCTGACTGTCTCTCTGTCTGGGTCTCTGACTGTCTGGGTCTCTGACTGTCTCTCTGTCTGGGTCTCTGACTGTCTCTCTGTCTGGTTCTCTTAGAGATGCACCAATTGTAATTTTCTTGGCCTATTATGATTTAAGATTTTTTTGCCCATACCAATTTTTGCTGATTGCAGTTTTCTTTCTAAGAACTATAAGTGACAGCATATGCAAACAGAATCAGCTTTTCTTCAATGCAGAATTTTATTTTCATAATAAAAGAAAATTGTTATACTTTACAAGTTACAGGATCTTCTCTCACCTAAGTCTCAGTAAAGTGCTCTGTGACTGGAAAGATGTACAAACGACAATTAACTGAAAATGAGTTGCTGTATGCCCAACATTATCTGGCATATTTTACTTTACCAAAGAAGAGCAGGTGCAACAGCATTAAATAACAAAACAAATGTCAGTTACTTATATCATTTTCCATGATATAAATTCATGTTTAAATTCACCGGATAACACGATATTGGCCTTTTTCTCTTTTTTTACTCATCTTAAAATAAAAAGTCCTCAGGTTACAAACCTCCAAATAAAACTGAAGTGTACTATACTCTACCAAATAATAATAGGTGCAGGGTAATATTGTTAATACCAACATCGCATGTTATGCACATACAATTCTTACATTGCTAGTAAGCTACATTAAGATCAGGCTTTTTCATGCTGTCATACTGCATGGACATTATAGCGCAGACAGTTAGCGCAAGTTTCACTGAAATATTTTCATTCTGTCCTAGAAAAAAACCCTAGCTAGCTTTGCAATTTTAACGATTATTCCTTTTCAAGATTAATTGTGAAGAACCTCCACGGTACCCTGTTGTTAGTGCGTGGTTGTGAGCCTGCATGCGGCTGTGAGGCTTTAAAATGAACTGTAAATGGTGTAAAATGGACTGGTTTTGTATCGGAAATACAAGAGACTGATCGGCCGGTCTCCGGTCAGGTCGAGCACGCTGAAAATTGTCCGAGTCCGTTCCCTGGCCGATCGATCAGGCGCATCTCTAGTCTGTCTGTCTATGTATCTGTCTCTGTCTGTCTGGTTCTCTGTCTCTCTGTCTGTCTGTTTGGTTCTCTGTTTGGTTCTCTGTCTGGTTCTCTGTCTGTTTGTCTGTCTGCTTGACTGTGTCTGTCTGGTTCTCTCTGTCTGTCTGGTTCTCTGTGTCTGTGTTTCTTTGTTTGATTCTCTGCCTGCCTGCCTGCCCTCCCCATCTGACAGTACTGTGCCTTTGGCTCTTCACAGGGTCGGGTCTGAAGAGGCCTTATGAGGATGGCGTGACGGATGACAAAGACCTCATCAAGAAGATGAAGCGCAACCTGAGGAAAGGCAAGTGGCGCCCTCCAGTGGTGGCCATGCAGGAGGCCGTTGGGCTCATTATCGCAGAATGATGTCAGGCTGCCGCTGGGTTGCCTGGGGGGGTTCCTCACTGGGGGGGCAGTGGGAGATGCATCCCAGACAGGCTCACTGAGGCCAGTGACAGAGGAAGGGGGCTATGCATATGGAGACAGAGAGGTCCTGTGGTTTTGTAGCCGTGGGTGACTTGCTATTGGCCCGGAGCCTGGCTGTAATTACTTTCAGAAAAGAGCGAACGCCAGGGTGCACCTTGCTGGGCAGAGGGACACCTTCATTATCCCTCCCCATGCCTGAACCCACCCCCCTGTTCATAAGCATTACGCCCGGAGACATGCGGACGGCGTGCTGCCGTAGCCTGCTGCTCGCGGGCCCTTTGCCCCGCACACAAAGCCTGTAACGGCGTGCTGCCGTAGCCTGCTGCTCGCGGGCCCTTTGCCCCGCACACAAAGCCTGTAACGGCATGCTCTTTGTCTTTAGCTTACACCTCAGATCTTACCCTCTACTTTTTTAACTTCTTGGTCTAAATCCTGGATTGTCATTTTTGACTAAACTGTTTCTATAAATAAAAATCCCCAGTATTTCAGCAGCCAGCTGAAATCCTTTACATTTTCAGCAGACCACATCATAAATAAACTGGGATGAGGTCACACATCCGCTATGATGAAAGCCCCTCTAACGCCGCCTATTGCTTTTACATCAGCGATGCCTGATACTGGCTAACAGCTGCCTTGCCTCATGCCTCTGTCCTTGTGTTTGGGACTCCCTGGGTATTCCCCCTCCTGCTGCCCCCCCCCATTCCCTCCGGCTCACTCTCCCCTCTCTGCAGTCCTAGACAGCAAAGCAATAGACAGCAATCAGCCCATGAACGCCTTGATGCGGCTCAACCAGATCCGTCCGGGTCTGCAGTACAAGCTGCTGTCGCAGTCGGGTCCGGTGCACGCGCCCGTCTTCACCATGTCCGTCGACGTCGACGGCACCGTCTATGAAGCTTCAGGCTCCTCCAAGAAAACGGCCAAGCTGCACGTGGCGGTTAAGGTATGGGGGGTGGGGCCGCAGTGGGTTTGGGGTGGAATTCAGTGGATCGGCCCCAGTTGACATTAAGGGTTAATGAAGTGGCATTGCTGGGGTAATCACAACCTCCTAAGGGCGTGGTGCTGGGAGTACTGGGAATGCTGGTAATAGGGAGCCTTCTCTCAGAAGCTAACGGGCGCACCGTCACTCCGGTCTCGCCATCGCTAGCCAGGATCAGAGCCCAGCCACGGGTGATGGTGGCCATGAGGACGCGGCAGGTCTCTGCGACAGCCTCTCATCTTTAATCACTTCCCATTGTCAGGTTCTGCAGGCCATGGGCTACCCCACCGGGTTTGACGCCGACCTGGACTCCATGAGCGCGGACGAGAAGTCGGACAGCGAGGGCAAGAGCGAGACGTCCTCGAACCCGAGCAATAACGCCAGCAACTCCGCCACAGATGGCTCCAACACACTGGAGGTGCGGGGCTGCCGCCTCTTAAGACCCGGAGGACGACTCCCAGTTACTCCCTGCCCGCTGTCACGGGAGCGCCTCAATCACTGGCCCCTCCTGCTGCAGTACTCTGACTGGGCCAGGCGGGTCGACACCAGTCCCGTTTGAGTGTCATTAACCAGTACAGCCAGTCAGATCACATGCTCATGCCTGATGTATTATACTTCCCCTCTTTCAAATGAGTAATTAATAAATCTTATTCTTTGGTGTTTCTCAAACCAGTCCTCAGGGACCTCCAGATAGTTAAGGTTTTTGAGGGAGCAAAAATGTGGTCTTTCTGGCAGGGAGCTTGGAGGGAGCAAAAACGTGGACTGTCTGCAGGTCCTCGCGGACCGGGTTGAGAATCACTGTAATACTCCATTGGTATCCCAGCCAGCCTATGCTGCTACAGACCCTTTGAATGGACTTGTTAGTTGGTCTTGTAGGTGCTTTCTAAAGGGGGTTCCTCACTGCAGTTTGTCTGTGTCTCGCAGCTACGCACTCAGGGCCCTATACTCACCGCCAGCGGAAAGAACCCGGTGATGGAGCTGAACGAGAAGCGGCGCGGCCTCAAGTACGAGCTCATCTCCGAGAGCGGCGGCAGCCACGACAAGCGATTCGTCATGGAGGCGAGTCAGCGGGCGCCTCTGCAGGGTGCCCCTCATACGGATCACCCGCTATCGGCCGTACTGTGGCCCACCTGCCCGCAGTCCTACCCTCGGCTTTGCCCCCTCCCCCCCCGTCTCTGCCCTCGCCCCAGCCGCCAGCTCTGCCCTCTCATCCCTGCAGGTGGAGGTGGACGGCCAGAAGTTCCGTGGAGCTGGGCCCAATAAGAAAGTAGCCAAGGCCAGCGCCGCCCTGGCTGCCCTGGAGAAGCTCTTTTCCGGGCCCAACGCCGCCGGGAACAAGAAGAAGAAAATCATCCCTCAGGTCGGTGCAGTAGCATCCTGGGTCGGCCGGCCGCAGCTGCCTTACATGCAGCTTCAGCGTCTTTTATTGCTGTGTGTCTGTGTGTACATGTGTGTGTCTCTCCTACCTGATGTGCTGATGATCTCACCACGTCCAGCACGCACACCTTCCCTAGACAGTGTCCTCAGGGACCTTCAGACAGGTCCCACCTTTGCTCTCTCCCAGCTCCCTGCACACCTGAACCAAACGATCAAGAATGACCCAGACACTCATGGGGTGTGTCCAAAATCAAATACTTACACAGTACGTACTGCATTTCGTCAGAAGCCTACTACTTGACGGTTAATGTAGTACACACTATATGTCTGAGAACAGCATGCCTGCACTCAGACACACTGCAGCTGCCATCTTGCATATAACCTCACCCAGTGATGACCCCTGTGAAAGTAAAAAATTATTATAAACTATCAACAAAAATAACGCATTCATATGTGTCATTGGGTATTGTTTTTTACTTAAGGTGGTGGAGAAAGTGTTGCCTTTGTACAGATTTGACTCAAATTTCTGAGTGACATTCTTCATCTCTGATTGTAGTTCCAGTGGCCTTGTGGGATGGCATAGCGTCAGTCATTTGCACATTTTGGAATTTCGTAGAATGTACCACGCCACCTGGCTACCGTTTGCATGTGGTCATACTGTACCTATATTGAGAATTTGCACATACTGCTCACTTTGCATTCTGCATTCCGCCTACTACGCAGCAAACAAGTATGCGATTTCATACCCACCCTAGAAGAAGCCAGACAGTCAAGAACACCAAATACCTGGTGTAGGAGTGCTGGACGCTGGGAGAAAGCGACAGTGTGCCCTGGTTGGGGGTTGCTGAAAACTGGTTTGGGAATTGGTACTGCTTGGGAACAGTGGTAGATCAGCTGCCACTAATGTGACATTCCCGCGTTTATTGGGTGGTTCCTATTGGTGACCTGTGTTCCGTCAGACGTCCTGCCCAGTGTATGTGGTTATCGGAGTGAGTGGGCGAGAGAGCTGAGCCCATGTGTGACTGCAGAGTATTGCGACCGCCTTGACCCTGATGGGGTGGGGGTGTCCTCTGAGGGATCTGCTCGCTCACTGTTGCCCCCCCAGGCGAAAGGCGCCATCGCCGCAGCAGCTTCTGCAGCAGCCCAGGCCGTTCGCGGCCGAGGACGGGGAGCCCTGGCCCGGGGGGCCTTTGTGACGGCCGCCGCTGCCGCGCCCGGATACGTCACTCCAGGTGCATGAGCGCCCTCTGCCTGCTGTCGCACACCACTGCGCCCACTGTCCCCGCCTCTAATGCCTGATATGTGCTTGCAGGCTACGGCACCCCCTATGGGTACAGCGCGGCCGCCGCCGCCCCCGCTTATGGTACGTAACCGCCCCCCTCATCTCAGTCCAGCGTCACAAATTACCGCCACAATTTCCAGACAGGCACAAGAGAGAAGCTGATGGCAGCGACCATCCCAGAGAAATTGAGTTTTAAAAAAAAAAAAAAAGAGGGAGCGGGAATGAAATCAAAATTGAGAATCTCGTCTTTTGTTTAAAGCAAATGAAAAATGGAAACGGTCATAACCTTTTGGTTCTTCCTGTGGTTGGAGCAAAGCCTTGCTGTGCTTCGCCTGAGTGTCCAGACTGCAGCTCGCCAGTCTGCCTGCCCGCACCCCCCACCCCCTCCCCCCCATTCTGACTCTGGACATTCCTCCTCGATGTCTACAGCCAACGGATACCCCATTCAAAGTGGTGCCAGCAAGCATCTGGTGGGGGTGGGACTCCATTGCCATTCTCGTTGGGGGGGGGGGTCACACAGAGCCAGCTTTGGCCATGTACTTGCCACCACCACTCACATGACAACCTACCCAGGCTCTGTAAGGAAGGTTTGGCTTCGTTTTTGCGTATACATTTAGTAAGGAGTCATTGTCGAGGAGCCCAATTGCGTTACAGAGCAGCAGTGCATATGACACGCACTGCCCAATAACATTCAGCATAGGGGCAACAAGAATAGGAATGGCCCCAGACCCGGGAGGTGAGCCAGGGGCAGTAGGAATGGCCCCAGATCCGGAGGGTGAGCCAGGGGCAGTAGGAATGGCCCCAGATCTGGGGGGTGAGCCAGGGGCAGTAGGAATGGCCCCAGACCCGGAGGGTGAGCCCGGTGTCTGTCTCTCGAGAAAATAACTCAGCAGCTGTAGTTATGCACCTGTCTGCCCACCTGCCCACTGACGCCCAACACGGGAACCCAACACACGGCCGAGAGCTTCTAGGGCACCCCAAGGAAGCGGGGGCTCTTTTTCAGAATGGCATTGGGGCCCCCACCTTCCACCCTTCCTGGGCACTTTGAATGAGCCTTATGTGCAGGGGGAGAATATGGAAACATTCCACCGTGGGGTGCCGTGTGGGATCGGGCTCCTCTGCCGTCCATTTGGTGTGGGCGGGGCGCCCGGGTGCCTGCTCTCTCCCTGCCACATAAAGACCGTTCCTTTTGTGCCCCCCGTGTGGCAAAGCAAAGCGGGACAGCAGGTATTTGGCTGAGCGATAACAACACGTCTACTGCTTCTGGAAGTCGTTGCATGTCGGTAATCCCACGAACTCCATCCTGATTTGATTTCGTTATCCGTGGCGTTCTGCCTCCTGTTGCTGCTTTGTGATTTCTCGACGGGGGGGGGGGGAAGAAAACATGAGAAAATGGCAGAGCGGCTGTGGGCCGCCACACCCAGGCCACAAGAACACGCACACTGCACACGGCACCAGATAGGGGGCGCCGAGTCTGTAAGGCGAGAGTCCTTCAGCAAACGTGACGTTATCATCTTTCCTGAACATCACTCTCTTTGGAAGAAGAGACAGTTCTTGTGCACACTAAATATTACAGTAAAGGTAAAAGGTATTAAAAGATCCATGTTCTTAGACTTTATTAAAATTTTTATAAATACATGCTGCGCCAGGCATGAAATTAGATTTATTTTATTAGTCTCACAGTTTCAAGTATAATCTTGAGTGTAGTCCTCGGTATTGATTTAAAATGTAGCTGTTCATTTCAGAATGTCAGCAGAAGGCAGTATCAACATATCGACTTGCAATCTGCTCGTCTCCCTTAAATCTCCTTCCAGACGTCCGTGTGTTTTTTTTGTTTAACGTAAGTAGGTTCTATGCTGATTTCTAGATGATTCGGCGAATGACCTGTGGGATAGATGTGTAGTTGGTTCTCTCTTCACGTTCCCTCGTTCCTCAGATGTGCCCTCCTGTGAACAGGCTCACTCGCTCACGCACTCGTTCACTCTCCCTCCCTGATCCTCTCAGTGAGCAGCCCATACCGCTGACCTCACACGCAGACGTCTCTCCGTTTTTCTCTCCTAGGTCTGCCCAAGAGAATGCTTCTGTTGCCTGTCATGAAAGTGCCCGCCTACCCAATCCCTCACTACTCCTTCTTTTAGCACTGAGGCCCCCAGGCCGCCCCCCCTTATCCAACCCAAACTGTACAGATTTTTAGAAGGGAATTTTTGTGCTTTCTTTTCTACTTTAAAACTTCGTTTTAAAAATTAAAAAAACAGGTTTGTTCATCAAAAATTTTGAGGATTTGTACTGTGAAATGTTACCTCAGTCTTGGAATATAAATTATACAAGCTTTTTTTTGTTGTTGATGTGCTGTTTTTTTTCTGAGGGGGAGGGTTTACGGGCCGTAACATTTGGCTCTGACACACACTGTAAAGGTGACCAGCTATGTGAAGGATGTATAGACGATACTGCCAGCATTGGTGAATAAACCTTTGTATCTTACAACACCTGAGTACTGACTGGTGTATACAGCCCTTTAGCATCGTAAGCGCATTCGGGGGCTTTAGCATTAAGGCTAACACTGGTATTCTTTGCTGGTACTTAATTGCCCAGTACGGTGGTGGGTCGTAGGAGGGGGTAGATGATTTCTGGTGGTTTGTTTGTCCAGATTGGCGGTTTGGGGCTTTTGATCTTTAGCCGCCTCTCTCTGCTTCTGTGGTAGCATTGCCTTTCTCTTAAAACTCTTCCAAAAATGGCTTCTAAGCCACAGTTGGCTAACATATGTAATGGTTTACTGCTTTAAATTAATTGTTAAGCCCTAGAAAATGAACAGATTACAGTACTGCTCTGCACACACGCAGCGAACGACAGCAACGGACAGAAAACGTCTCGAAGTCTTAGCGACGAAGGATAATATTGATGAAATGTTCTGTCGCAATCTTTGTTAGACTATCAGGACCAGGCCCGGGAGGTTTCTCTGACTGATTATCCTGTCCGAAATCAATGGGTGATGGAATTAATCAAAAAAGGGGAAACGATTGCGGCCTGCCTTTTGGCCAGGGCAGAGCTCCTGTTTGTGGTCCTGATAGCTGACCGCACACACCCATCACACAGGGTTCTTGTGGCCTTCAGTTGCATGTGTGTCAAACGCGATAGGCCGCTTGGCTGGTTCCTCCCGAGGTTCCCGGCAAAGGGTCCAAACACACGCACACTCCAGAGAGGCAAGAACACAGCTACTCGCGGCGGAATCAAAAGCAGCAACAAGGGTCCACCAAGACTTGCTACCTAACTGTCCCATATTTTTATTTTAATTTTTGTGAAGTGTCTGTGTGAGCTACAAGTCTGTCTTTTCCCATGAGGCCAGCACAGGTACCTCACAACACGCCTTCATCTTCCTCCTGTCATCTTCCAACGCCTGATGGTTCATGTATATAAGGTGGTTTCCCCTCTGTTTTGATGAATGTTATGAGTAAAATCTGCCTTTCTCATATTAGAAGGGATAGCCCAAAACTAGCCAGAAGACCAATTTCCAGCCAATCCCTGTCTCCCAAACTCCCTACCAATGCTCGGTGCGGCCCATTTGGAATTCTGGTCCTTCTGGCAGCTTTGGGCTGTTTGGGGCTGAAGCTCAGGAGTCTGGGGAGTTCTGATCTGTCAGGATAAGCTTTTGCTGGCCCGTGGCTGGGACAGGGTCATCGCTGACGAGAGAAGGCACAGTCTCTCCTCCAAATGCTATTGGTTGATATCAAGCAATACCATGTTTTGATTGGGTACAGTTTCACTTTCCAAAGGGGGATGGGAGCACTAAGCCACCGCCCCCAGACCAATGAGGTTACTGTCGCAAACTGTCCCTGCTGCTAATTCTCATCCAAGCTCGCCCTCTCTCGTCTTGATGGCAGCCATTGTACTAGACTATCTCCAAAATCACCCTTTAATTTATCTCTCCAGAGTTACTAACTACATTGTCTGAACTACAGAGTTATTGCATACAGTTTTTACATTTCTATGCTTTATCTTGAACGAATGGGCTCCAAGTTTTTTTTATTTATTTTTTTTGTCCGAATTGGTAATGTGCAACTTCAGTTGTTGATGTCTTTTTTATTAACCTGATACGCCCCGATGCAATGAAAACCCCACATACAGCTGAAAGAGCAGAGATTTCCAACCTGGAATGTGTAATGCTGCCTCCTGCAGGTCCGGACATTAATTGCAGTCTCTCTGCTCTTCTTCTCACTGTAGGTGGTCTTTTCATTGACAATCCCTTTTACCAGCCGCGGACCATCGCACCTTTTATTATTCACTTGGGTCCTCAAGATCTCTTCTCTGACTTCTAGAACCATCAGGTTGTGTGGCTCTAAACGCTCTTACTGCTTTCGGCCTAACCAGGCTATCTCCACTGTACAGAACAGTCAAACTATCTCTACGTATAAGGCATATACCCCAACAACAGAAAAGCAATATGACTTTAGTTAACTTTAGCAAAATCGAAGGCTGAACTTGGTCTTTATTATATAGCAATACACCTGAACTTTTAGCTTAAAGCTTACTTGAAACAATGTGAATGTTCAATTGAGTCTTACCCGAAACAGCACTGCAATATTTAATTTTAATTGTATATTCACTGTGTGCGTGTGTATGTGGGATTATACTACAAATGTATGCATATATATTTATGGTGCTTATTACTATAAATATATTTGTAGAAATATTATGTATGTGTGTATATAGTTTGGATAAATTATTTTAGAGTTTCCGAATATAACGTAAGTATAATCAGAGTAGAGCATTCTTCCAATTTTTTATACGTAAAGGTAGTACTCTGTGGCGAAGCAAGGACTTTTGAATGTCCTGTACCTGTAGTTGTAGTGTAGTCCGGGTTGCCTCCGCTTGTTTGCCTGGAGTAACATTCTGGGGTGTCTTACCACTTTGAGCGTTTCAGAGCACAGCCTTCAATGTCTGGTATTTGAGGGTAGGAGTTGGCCTTCCACCTCTCTCCTTAATGAGACGCTGTCCATGGGATGGTATACACAGTACCGTCTGACAAAGCACACCTTTCAGTAGACAGCGCATCCTGCTGACTTGCGGGTTACTGTGGTGTACACTGTTTCTCTCTGGGCAGCTACTGAGCTGTACCCTGGACCACCATTAATTCAGTCTTCTGTGAGGGTGTGGCTAGAAGCACAGTGCTTTTTTCCGTCTCTGTCCGTCCATCACTATTGTTTTTTTTCCCCACAACTCCCCTTCTTAACTCATATGATAGAAATGTCAACAACAATCCATTGTACCATGGAGTGTGCAATAGTAATGAAGAACTGTCCATGGTTTGATGGACGTGCTGGGCCCTGTGATTCCCACGCACAAAGTACTCCGAGTACTTTGCCGAAGGGCTGCACGTGCTGCACCCCATGCATTTCTGCTGCGCCCTCTTCAGATTGATCCCTGTGGTCCTGCATGTTCCCCTCATTGCTTTCGGCTGTTCCTCAAATGCAGACGCTAACATTGTGAGCTGGTTTATTTGGAACCAAAGCTCATAGACGTCCCTCACAATCTGGAACATGCTTTATGTAAATAAATTCATATAGTCTCTCTTTGTGGAGGCACACAGCCCCACTGTTACCGGTTTAAAGTAGATCTGGGTCTGTAAAGTTCTGCATTTTTTTTCCTTTCCTGAAGTAAACTGTCATGATCTGTCACATAAACCTAAAATTATCAATTTTTTTCTAGTTAGGTGAAATAAATAGGTTAACCACATAAAACTTTTGTATATTGTTGCAGAAAAAACACTTGGTGGTATTTTATTTTGTTTATTTACTAGTCCTCGGTATCACAGAAGCAATTTTAAAGACCAGCGAAATTAGTTGGGTGTTTTAATTTAGCTGCGTGGTCAGTGACTGCAGGGAGGTTCTCTGATCAGTTTATTGTAAATAGTTGACTTTTCAAAGCTGCTGTGCTGTGAGTGGATCCTCTGTCCATCACTCCTCCGTCCCTTTACCCGCCTGCGAGGTTTTCCATTGCTTACCGATGTATTTGGACGCGCCTTATGGATTTTCAGTTTCATTTACCGACTTCATAACTGTCACATAGCTGTGTTTTATTTTCAGAGTTTAAAGTCTGGTGTCAGACTTTTAACCCCAACACATTTATTCCCGTGGAATCAATCAATACAGGCTAAGTTAATTAGAAATGCTATTTTTGGACAACACCGCCTTCCTGAGCGCGTGTGCCACACCGTCATCGTGTATAAGTACTTATCATATGCAGTACCTTGTGTTTGCAGCAGATATTGATGTAGGTGTCTCTTATAGCCATGCTCTCCATCTATATGCATTTCGGCACACATTTAATCGCCAAATGTAACCTCGTCAGAAGATCAGGCATCGGGACGTTTCAGTTTGCTTACCAAAGCTAGCGGTAGTATGCATGACGTCAGCCCCACGCGTGTGGGTGAAGGGAGCTCTGTAAGGACGGCTCTCCCTGCAGCTCCTTCGCTATCTCACAATCAGTAAACAGTTTGAATTGGTTTTCATTATATAATATACATATTTTACATACACTACACATACACACACATATATATATATACACACACACACATCTTATTTTAAAACTATTTTTTGTGCTTCTTAAAGATCAGCTATATTTCTTTACAAGTGAGAACTGGACTTTTAATTTGTAAAGTTTTATTTTCTACAGTAACCTCGCAGTTCCAGAAGGCTCTAATTTGGATTTAGGACTCAAGGTGAAACACATTCCTTCATTTCGGTGTAAGTTTGTCCCTAATCTGTGGTTTACACGTTTGTTCAAGAAACTTTCTCAGTGTATTCTGTTGCACTGAATCGGGTTAAAGAAAAAATATAATATATATATAAACAATAATAATGACACATGAATGTGAGACAAAGGCAAGTCTTTGTGATATTCAGAAATAGTATTTATTTTAATCTTGCTATGTAGGAATATGTAAAAACTTTCCAAACCCTTGATGTGTAATTTTGAAAGTTTTATGCTGTTCCTTCCTACATTCTCCCTGGTTCCGTCTTGACACGAGTGTCGTTGTAGACCTGCCATGGCTTCAGCCTAAGATGTAGGAATCCTCTGTAGGACGCAGACTTAAGCTGCTCGTCGGCGCAGCAGGGGGAAGAGCTGCGCTCTCTGCATTACTGCATTACTGCTTTTCAGTGTTGCGCTGCAGAGCTGGATGTAAATAGTCAGTTGAATGTATTTGAGTCTTCCACAAACACTAACTAAAAGTAGCTGTTAGAGAAACAAATCAGGCTTCCATGTCCTCCCTCAAATCACTCATAATGTATTCTTAAGGGGCACTAGGACTAATTTCAACATTTCCGTGATTTCCTTCATTCCAAAGTCACTTTGCTGAACGTGTAACCAAAGGTGTTCATGACACAGTTGAGATTTTCAGTGGAATATTGATAGAATCCGTTCAACATAACCATCTGACACTTTCTGTAGCTCTGGTCTATATGCTATAAATGGTATGTAAACTAAGCTGGCTAATTTTCCTTTAGAGAGTATCCTTTTTGATTCAAAAAGGCATAAGTGAATGGTTAATCTCTGCGGTCCACAGTGGTAACAATGGTGAAAAGAAGGGTTCAATAAAGGGGCGAGGGAATTGTATTAGTTCAAGATCTGCTGACAAAACTGGCTTGTTTAGTGAGACTCCAAGGGCTGAGTCTGTCTGGGAATGCTGGGATGGAACAAGCACAAAGCCACACTAGCAATACTCAAACTCAGGGCTAATGAACAGCCAGCTGCCTAGCAGGCCTCGTGCAGCCTGAGGTCAGTGTGCTGCACACCGAAGGCCCGCACCCTCCGCCATGCTCACAGGAAGTGCTGGAGCCCTCCTGGCAGCCCCAAATATTTTTTCCCCCAAAATTTTTTGCCTAAAATAAGCGTTTTAAACAAATAAGCACCTTACTGTCTGCCCCAGCTTAGCACCAGGACGTTTTCAGCAGATTCCTGGAAAAGGTGGGCAGCTGTACAATGTTCCCTTCAGCTTTTTCAGATGTCTGTAGGCTTGTGGCCCCAGGTGTGCGGGTCTAACCCAAGCTACCCGATGAAATCTATGCCCATCTGGGCATATTTACCGATTCCCCGGTCCCAGTTTTATTCTCTGGTAAATTTTTCTCACTGAATGTCCTAGATTTTTAGCATCATGATTTTTTCCCCTGTCCACACACATCCCAAAGACAAAGGAGCCAAGCTGGTCTGTCTGTGTTTAGATTTCGCACTGCTGGTGCTCAACAGCAGCGCACTCACCTCTGTTTAATAACCGCTTACCTGCGCTTACTCCATTCCAGTCTGTCTTAGTGTAAATATTTAAGAATCTTAGCCCTTCAGTACAGTGATAAAGGTTCACATGTAGGACTAGGGTTCAGATATCTAGGAATTCAGTTTGTGCGTCCAGCGCAGAGGTGCTGAAATAGAACGGGATCCTGTTTCGGCGAGAGCGCAGTGTGTTGCTGAATTTCAAATTTTCTTCATGTTTGTGATGTGAGCGATGCACAAGCATGACCTCGTGGTGAAGGCGGTCCATCAAACACGTATACAGACAGGAAACGGATTTGTGCTTTTAAAGCTTTTTTTGTGGAGGCTCCAGGCTCCGTTTGCAAAGTCTACGGCTGATTGAGACTCGCTGGTTGGATTGTATACTCTATTGTAGTAGAACGTATGAATGTATAATTTAGAAGAGCTACATGTGTATAGTGTTTATGTAAATATATAATACACATAAAATATATACTCATACATTTTAAATACTTCTGTGTTTCATATGACCCTTTTGTGTTAACATTTGTTGCAGTCATAAATCGTGAAGTCTTGCGTGTGAAGGGCTTCATAGTGCTGTAATTAATTTAAGCAGTTTGACTTGCTATCGGTAACGGCCGAGAAGTTTGAACAATCTGCCCCACCTCCATGGACTTGTTAAACGAAATGATACCAAGGAGTTTCTTCAAAAATGTTATTTTTGAAACGTAAAGGAAAAAAAATGTGATATATGGTAAATTTGTGCACAACTTACGCGAGTGAGCTCTGCAGGCTTTGAAGCCGACTGAAATCACTGCAGCCGATGTTTGCTAGTTCTGTGTTATGAAATTATTAGCAGCAAAATCACCGTGGTGATGTTTGTCATTGTATCTGCCATAAGTTACTGCTTGAGAATAAAATGCTGAGATTCCTCTAACTGTCTGTCTTGTCCTTCTGTCAAACAAATATAAAACAGTGCTGTGCAACTGACGTCAGCAGTATGTGATTCAGGAGATGAAGTCCTGAGAAATGTCTGCCCGCTAAAGGTGGGACTGCAAAGTGAGCAAATTGCCATAAAATACTGAGCAACAACTTAACTATTTTGCATGAATAATGACTGTAAACAATGCTGCCTCACCGGACTCAGCAACCTGGCGTCTAAAATAAAACTCAGACAGACGAGACCTGGCAGCGTTACAGAGCTGGCTGTGCTGGACCAACATGGATCTGCTGGGATTTCAGGAATCGACACCCATGGCACCTGGGAGACTGCAAGCCAAGGACTCTGGAAATGGCTGTCAAGATGTCAGACGGCAGCTCGTTTTACCTTTCAGTTAATTTAAGGCAGTGTTCCTCAACCCGGTTCCTGGGGACCCCCAGATGGTCCGTGTTTTTGCTCCCTCCCTTGTATTGGTATGAAGCAAAAAATGTGGCCTGTCTAGCTGATAGCTGGGAGGGAGCAAAAACATGGACTGGACCCGGTTGAGAAACACCGACTTAAGGCAATGGATCTGCCTCAGAAAATACGTCTTGCATGACTTACAGCATCGTGTTTTATAAACACAGTTCACCAGAGTTAAAAAAATCAACCCCATCTACAGACCAGTTTTGAGACTCAATCATTGTACAAAAACTGAAAATTGATAGCAGCAGGACATTTATATGGTACAGTCTCCAGTAACCTTGTGTAGATTAGGAGCCAATCCCATTAATGGGTCCTTAACAAGAATTTTGATTTGATTACCCTTCTGCAGCTTGTGCAGCTATTTTCCATTCATAATGCTGGACTGCAGCACAGTGGCTGCTGTATAACACTCTGTGCTCTAAGCAGTTAGAGGCGGGTTGATTATGGAGAAATTTCCAGACTGTACTCCAGCCACACAACATTCCAACACCTGCCAGGAGATGACAAGATGGACTTAAAAGGTGCAAACGAACCTAAATTATCCATGTTGCAGCGTAATCAGTTCTGTAGGTGATGCTAGGGGCTCCTCGATCATCCGCTGGTAGGGCGGTACGGCTCCGATGAAAAGTGATGCTGGCAGCCAACAAACCGATAAATCAGAGCCCGGCTGCAAGATAGCTGAGCTGTTTATAGCAGGATTGCATCTGGGGAAAACAATCCTGCAAAGCTTGCAATGTCTCCCTGTCTGGAGGGTAAGCAAGTTCAGCCCTATTTTGGCCTGAGACATTGGGACAGCAGCAAGCAGCTCATGCCTCTTCATAGGAAGACTGGGCAGCACCACAACTGACCAAGTTCATTCTGCCTGCAAGCCACTGTAGCTGCCTGCAAGTATTTTTAGTGCAGAGAGGAACAGGGAGTGTGGAATTGCATAACGCTGATGCTTCTCCTGCTATTTAAAGCTTTTTAAATAAATTAAAAGTGAGAAGCAGTGGAAGGATATTCAGTATGGCAAGTTTGACTGTATTTAAATCCATAAAATATCTGGATATAATTGCATAGTTTAGACATCAATTTGGTAAAACTTGCATTAAAGATCATCAATCTGTTAGCCAGATTAATAATTGAACAATATATTGAACGTGTTCAACTGTCAACATGACACTTGAAAAGGGAACACTAAGAAATATCACATCTCTACAATGAATTTTATATTTCGCTCATTAAAAATAAGTATCAGCTAACAGGTGATGGAGCATTTTGAGAACAGTGTGGCAGTGCACCCCCCCACCCCAAAAAAAAAAAAGCTTCTGGGCCTTCATGGAACATGCTTTGCTTACACCCATAAGGCAGAAAGTCAAACAAACTTAACCCCTCAGACGCCAAGGGAATTTTTGATAGCCCCCCTCACGGAAGGCTAACATAAAGCTTAAGGTTTTTGGATTTGTGGACACATGTAGAGTGAGTGACGACTCTACCCCTTGCTAGTACTGGGTTGGACCCCCTTTTGCCTTCAGAACTGCCTTAATTCTTCATGGTATAGATTCAACAAAGTGCTTGAAAAATTCCTCAGAGACTTTGGTCCATGCTGACGTGATGCATCACACACTTGCTGCAAATTTGTCAGCTGCATCTTCATAATGCAAATCTCCTGTTCCACCACATCCAGTAGGTGCTGTACTGGATTGAGATCTGGTGACTGGAGGCCATTTGAGTACAGTGAACTCATGGTAATGTTCCAATCTGAGAAACCACTCTGAGATGATATGGGCTTGGTGACATGGTGTGTTATCATCCTGGACGTAGCCATTAAAAGCTGGGTACACTGTGGTCATAATGGGATGGACATGGTCACCAACAACACTCGGGTAGGCTGTGGCATTTAAACGATGCTCATTTGGTACTAAGGAGTCCAAAGTGTGCCAAGAAAAAATCCCCCACACTAAACACCACCACCACCCGGAATTGTCAATACAAGGTAGGATGGATCCATGCTTTCATGTTGTTCACACTGAATTCTCACCATCTCTTACCATCTAAATGTCGCAGCAGAAATCGAGACTCATCTGGACAGGCAACGTTTTTCCAGTCTTCCATTGTCCAGTTTTGGTGAGCCCATGCCCACTGTAGCCTCAATATCCTGTTTTTAGCTGACACTGTTCTTAGCGGTGCGGCCTTCTGCTGCTGTAGCCCGTCTGCTTCAAGGCTCAACATGGTGTGCGTTCAGAGACGCTCTTCTGCATACCTTGGTTGTAAAGAGGGGTTATTTGAGTTACTGTTTCCTTTCTATCAGCTTGAACCAGTCAGGCCATTCTTCTCTGACCTCTGCCATCGAGGCATTTTCACCCAGAGAACCGCTGCTCACTGGATGTTTTTTCGTTTTCGGCCCATTCTCTGTAAACCCTAGAGATGGTTGTGTGTGAAAATCCCTGTAGATCAGCAGCGTCTGATACCAGCCCACCTGGCACTGTCATCCATGTCACATTCAAAGTCACTTAAATTGCTTTTTATCCCCATTCTGGTGTTTGATGTGAACATTAACTGAAGCTCCTGACCAGTATCTGCATGATTTTATACACTGTGCGGCTGATATAAGATTGATTGATTAGATATTTGGTTCAACAATTGAACAGGTGTACCTAATAAAGTGACCAGTGACAGTTACAGGGATCGACGTTAGATGTAAAGGCATTTTAACTATTACAGAGCCTTATTGAATCACCTAAGAAAATACACATACCTGTGTAGTTAAAATCCTATTCAGTTAAACCCAAACCATAAAATTGCTGTAAATAATGCAGAGGAAATGCAGATGTATCAAACAGGATGAGATGAAAAGTGGCAACAATTTTTTTAAAATCTGTGTTCCAAGTTCATGCAGTACAGATAATCTCAGCAGCGAACATGGAGCAGCGTCAGGATTCGCAGGGGCGTTAGGGGGTTAAGGCAGGCAGCACATGTGCGAACGAGCCAATAAATTTGGCAGCAAACACAGGGTGCGTCACGGGGGAGAGGCTCACACTCAGCCTCACATGTAACAGCATCCTGACTTCGGACTGCTGTTTGATTCTTAATCTGCAATCTATCTTCATGGTTAAAAATTACGGGCCACTTTAAATGCTGTGTTATTCCTGACATTTGCAGCATGCAAACAACATGGCTGCGGTGCCTCGTTTTCCCAGCCCAGTCCTCAGGGATAAACAGCCGGTCCAGGTTTTTGCTCCTTCCCAGCTCCTTGCTGGGAGGAAGCAAAAACATGGACTGTCTGCGGGTCACCGAGGACCGGGCTGGGAAACACTACTCTACTAGCCAGAGGCCACTTTACCCTCCATCAGTGTTCTTATGTTCCACATCTGGTCCTTGAATAGTCTTATTAGGTCCTCTCTATCTTAGACGGTGCTGTGTAGCTCCTGCTCTGATGCTGCTTACACTTGTACCTGGCCATTCACTGGAAGCTCATGCCTAAATGACTCCTTGACTGCATGCATGCTTTTTCTGGTCCAGGTATATATCCAGTTGTAGAAATGCACGCATATAGAGGTATGGTAAAATGGATCAGCGCATATTTGGTCTGATGTCGCTGCTGTGCGCCATTCCAGCATAACACAGGAACCCAGCCACCGAAATGGCAGTCAGTCTGCAGCGGTCAGTCTGCAGCGGTCAGTCTGCATTTGCCAGCTCTTCTTTACATGCACTGCTAACGTACTACACAGCTCCTCCAGAGATTCACCACACTTTGCCTGGTGCGTCACTGGGCAGCCTCCAGTTACGTTTCTATTACTAATCAACTGTATGGATTACCATACAGATTTTAAAATATCGTCCTGTGTAACTGGTCTTCCTTGACTTTAAAGCAATGTTTCTCACCCCAGTGCTCAGGAACCCCCAGATGGCAATACTCCCAGTATGTGGACTATCTGGCAGGGAGCTGAGAGGGAGCAAAAACCTGGACCGTCTAGGGGTCCCCAAGGACTGGGTTGAGTAACATTTCTTTAGAGGCCACCTTTAAGATCATGGCACTCAAAATACTAGCTGATTAGCCATTGAAACACTGACTGAATACTCGTCTTCACTTAAAAGTCAAAGCACAGACAATGAAGGAAGTATTTTCAGCAACATAAAAACAACTAAGTGGTGAAAACTTCTGAAGAGCTACTTGAGTGTATAGAGGCCTGAAGTTTTAATCCACTATTTTTGGTGGAAAATCCATATTGGAACATTAAAACTGGAATGTGGACAAAAATTAAATTTACTTCTTGGAATAGGCAATGTGAAGAAAATAATAAAGGCAAAATCTTTTTTATTTGATTCCAAAAATCTACAGAACAAAATTTTAATATCTGCTGCTCAGGAGTTCCTGGGCTGCATTTTGCCCATAGCAGAATTTGCATGTTCTATCAAAATGTTTCCCAACCCTGTCCTCTGGGACCCCCAGACAGTCTATGGATTTGATCCCCCCCAGCTCCCGGTAGGGAGCAAAACTGTGGACCGTCTGGCATATAGCTGGGAGGGAGCAAAAACACGGACCGACTGTAGATCCCCGAGAACTGGATCGGAAACACTGCTGTACAAACCTTGCTGTATGCCATGAAAAGCCTTTCTGGAGTGGACCTGATACTACACATACAAACTGATGTTCCATTTTATGGCTTGGCAGAACCAGACAGGCTTCATTAATGGTGTTTTTCTAGGTCTATCACTATGCTCAAATTAAGACACTTAAAAACTATTTAAAACTCTGGCTTACCAGTTTTGTGAATCAAAAGCTATGCTGACATGCAGGTCTTGAGTGTGGTAGGAGGCTTTATTTAAGGTGTTCCCAAGCAGGACGGAAATTGGCTAGCTGAATTTGGAAGCTTAATGGGTCAATGAGAAATGACTGAGAAAAGGACCGTAAAAGACATGGAGGAGGATTCGGAGAGACCTTCACATAATGGGATGAGAACGAAAAGAAAACAAAGACTACAGACAGGCAGAGATTTGTGTAGGAGCACAGTCATCAATCACAGAGCTGCCTCACATGCTCCTCGTTATGACTCTCAGCCCATTAGAGGCGGCCTGTTCCCTTTCTGCTGGTTGCTATGGTTTCCCAGCCTTTTCTTCGCACTTATTCTGTTCCACCTCCGTCTTGTGTGGCGTCCGCGTTCCTCGAGGAGCATGGCGGGAGTTCTGAGGACTCCAGAGAGTCACATCCAAGCCAGAATCATCAGCTGGACTCTGGAGAGAGTCAGCACTGAGAAGGAGGCTGCCGTGAGATGATTAAAGGCGAGGACAGAGAGAGGCGAGGCTTTAGCGAACAGCTGGGCAGGCTGGGGGAGAGAGTGCACCATCACCCGAGAAGATGGGAACGTGCTGGCGGTAGCGCAGGCGAGATCCTCCTGAGAAACCTGCATCCCGGTCGTGGGTTAGGTGTCGGTAAGCAGAGAACAGATTCATCACGCAAAATATGAACGAGTAACAGTTATAGGAAGCATATTCACCATGTGCATTTAATTCATACCTGCTTTGAGCAGAGAACGTCCTCAGGACTGGGACAATCTGGACATCATAGCCAATTCTGTGGTTTCTTTCATAAGCGACATTAGACCATTGTTTTAAATTATGCAAAATGATGGAAACTTCCATTTCTTTTTTGTTTCTCTGTCCTTTTACAAGAATACAATAAAACTATACAGAAAGGACTATTTACCACTTAACTTTTAAAATCACTGAAATCAGACATGATGCTGGACATCGGCCCAGGTGAACACCAGCCTGAACACCAACCACTCTCTCCTAGGCTCTACCTTCATAACGATCAACCTCAGCCCACCTTAAACTTCATATTTCATCTTTTTATATGAATTATATTTAGATGGTATTAGATATCCCAAAACCGCCACTAAAGCGATAAGCGGCTTAGGCCCTAATGACCGTATAAGGAGTCTAATGACCCCAGGCGTCACCGGTGGCATATAATTTAACAAAACAAAAAAGAGGGAGACATCTGTCAGTCTGTGTTTATCACTTCTTTAGTTTATATTTAAATGCATGAATTATACACAATGCAATCTATTACTATTACAACATCCACACTTCCATAATGCTGGATGAAGGTACATTTTGGCATGTAATGAATGTAACAGCGGTTTGACATTTCAGACAAAAAGCTTTGAGCATCGACATAACGGAGTACGTTAGGCAACATTAGTATAGTTACCAAGGAAAACAGGAATACAAAATAAACAAACTCATACGCTTCCTATATACAAACCAATGCCTCTCAAAGTCAGCTTCCGCAGTACAAGCTCTCCACTAATCACAACGGCAACGTGAGCCAGCAGGAACCCATTATAAATATGTTTAAGGTGCAAAGAGCTGGTGCTCCTCTGCTACAGCACACCTGAAAGAGACCCTCCACACGCGCAGAAGCACACGGCTGCCCATCTCCAAATCCTTATCAAAGGCCGTCTAGAGACACCAACCCAAAAATTCTGCTTCTTACTAGCAGATGCCAGAAGTCACCTGGGCCGAGACCATCTCTAATCCGGCCCTGCCGCCCATCCTGGGAGCACATGGTCAAACGCCGGGCTCGGAAACTAGGGGGGGATTCTGGCTATCATGGGTAGAGGTCCACTGACTCGCCGACGCCTCACTGCGGTCCCGGCACCAAGCTGGCACGCTGACGGCCTTTTACAGTGAAAAAAAGCCCCCAAGTGGTGGACTAGCATCAAGTAATGATCAGAGTGGCGTTTTCAATGATTATAGCGACTGTCAGTGAGTGCAGCGATTCGGCATGATCGACGTGAGGCCGTCTGCGCGCTTTCTACAGCCTGAATGGCACCGACCTCCATTTCCACATGGTAAAAATGTCAAAGGAGCCCCATTCAGCTCACACGCACACACACACTCACACACACATATCTATACATCTGAACGTATGTACTTATGTAAATAGAAAACAAAAAACGGCATTGTTAAACAGAATCAGAAAAAGCTCACAAGTTCAAAAAGGAGGCTGTTAGCACTTGTACCTAGATATCAACAGGAGTTTTGTGCAAGTAGCCTGAAGCAGGTCAGCAGATGCTCTCCCACAGCGGTAAGGGCTACTGGCTACTCCACAGCCACACCCTTACCTTTTAAATCAGCGTCTCTCAACCCGGCCCTCGGGGAGCCCCAACAGTCCAGGTTTTGGTCCATCCCAGCTTACAGTAGGTTGGGAGCTGGGAGGGAGCAAAACGGGGAACCGTCTAGCAGGGAGCAAAAACTTGGACTTTCTGGGGGTCCAGAAACAGGCTGAGAGACACTGTTTTAAATAATCAGTAGTATATAGACTCCACTAAAGTTAAAGCCTTCTTAATTTTAAGTACATGTTGTCATCTGGGGCTGTTGTACCCTAAGAATATTGTCCTTTTTAAAAACCCCGTTGAGTATTCACTCTGGTCCCGGGAGTGAGCGTGAGCGGAGGGGGGGGGGGGGGGGGGGGGGGGGGGGTGGGGGGGGGGGGCACTGCAGTGGCAGCCTCGCCCGGCCTGGCCCCTCCCTCTAGCTAGGTCGTCTCTCTTCCCTGGGTGCCCGTCACAGTCTTGATGGAGCTTAACGTCCTGTTGAACCAGGTTTTCTTTGCGGCTTGGACCTCGTTCAGCGCCAGACCCAGGTGGTGCTCCAGGTCCTGGGGATGGACAGACACTGCTGAGCGGCGTGTTTTATGGGCCAGGTCCTGTCGTCACGCCAATGTGTAGAATTAAGGTAAAGCAGCCAAAATCCATAATCTGACAGCCGTCGTTATTGTTTGATTTGATTAAGCCTGGCAGAGCTAGGCTGGGGATTAAGGAGCGTAATGCTGTGTGGACACGCAAAGTAGGCAGAAATCATGAGGGCAGCACAAAGACCCACGTCGCCCCCTAGGGGTCGAGGCTGGGCCTGACGGGAATACCTGGATCCTGCACTCGGCTTCCACCAGCTGCAGCTTAGTCTGGGCCAGTTCCAGCTCCATTTCGCGCAGCTGGTTCTTCAGGGCCTCCTTCTCCTCATCCGTGTCGTCCTCGCTGCCTTCCTTGGTGGCACGGCGCTCCTTCAGACGGCCCTCCTTACTGAAGAGCACGCTGCACTTCTCACAGCCCTCCACCTTTTGCTGCGAGGACAGACGGGGGGAGACGGGGGCCGTGAGCCTCGGGGGAGGGGTGGGAGCAAGCAGCCACTCATCATGTGGTGCCAGGTGCGGCTAAACTCCGAATCGGAGTCGTTACTTCACCACAGTGACAAGGACGCCATTATCCTGCCTGTCATCACGGAGATGAGGAGGACAGTGGCGCATTTAGGCTGTCACCGTGGAGACAGAGGTGTTTACCGCGTGCGCTACGGGGAGGCCATGCTGGCCATTACTACACCTGTACTGGGGGGGGGGGTCTCGGAATGGATCTTGGGCTCCGTGGCCCTCCCTGCCCGCCGCCGGACCCCCTCCTCATTATTCCTCCACCTCCTCCTGCCCCCATCTATTTGTCACTATTTGTGCTGCGAGTGGCACACGCCACAGCTGCTTGCTGTCAGACGGAAGGCAGATTGTGGAGACAATTGTTTACGCCCCCCCACAATCGCTACACACATGAGGAGCAGCTTCACGACGTGGGCCATCAGCGAGACAATGAATGAATGAATCCGGTGGGTGGATCCAGCTCTCATCTGGGCTCCGACTAACAGCCGAATGGACGGACAGCCTATCTTCACAGAGACGATCCCCTCAGGCAGAAAGATGGCTGCCTCGTCAGCTCCCAGATAGGATAATCAGCGTCAATCCCGGGGCACCTAAATCTCAGCAGCCATTCAGAGGAAGCACTTACTGCCAGCTCTTAAACTCCCTATACATCTTCATGTTGTGAAGGGCTGGGAGGCCCATCGATAGGGACCATGACTGGATGCAGAGGATATCGATGGGCACAGTGATGTATGTGTGACCGGGGATGATCGCCGTGTGTCCAGGCGGTGACAGCAGTGGCTGCAGACTGGCGGACTCACCCGGATCTTCTCCAGCTCCCCCTTATTGGCCGCCTGCTGCTTTTCCAGACGCTCGCTAAGCTGGGAGCAGATCTGCGGGATACAGAGGAAATTAGAAGGGTGCTTTTAAAAGGAGGTGACTTTCATTCCAAAAGCGATGAGACATGGAAGGGTGAAATCATCAACATGGTTGCCAGACCGACATTTGAGTAAGTTCTGCTGCTCTAGATAATACCAGGCTTTGACACACTGGCCCATGACACTATTTACAACACGCAGGTGAGAAGGAATCATCCAGTGCTATTAAAAAAGTCTTATGGGGTGATAAGTCTCCAAGGAGAAGGAACCATCTGAAGAACTTCCAGATGGAATGAAGTAGCCTTTCATGAATGCATGTTTGCAGCTTCCCGGCTCAGCGTCCCTGTAACCCGGAAAGTAACTGGGGGATTAACTCTGAGTCCACAAAGGTCAAAGATGGATTAAGGTGCAGATTTTATGAGGAGATAATGTTTCGTTTATCAACGGCAGACTTGATCGCTTTAATACTCCAGCCAAAATCATCACAAGGTTCTAGAAGTTCACTCACTCCTAGAGAGCAGAGAAATACTGACCTTTATTTTTCACTAGATAATGAAACACTTCGAAGGCAGTGGCAGGGAGGTCAGCTCTTAGATAACTGTTGTCTCTGTACCCAACCCCCCCACCTCCCCCAAATCTTGCCATCTTGTCTTTCCTACCTGGTGGCTGTTTGTGACTCCAGCACGTCTGAGCTGCCAAAGTACAGCGCTCTTTTGATGCCATGGAGGGGAAGGCAGACCTCTACCTACGACCGCAATAAATCATCCTGCCACGGCAGCCATTAAAATGTGATCACAGGGGAGAAGCCAAATCCACCTTTAATGAAGCACATTTTCCCCGCTATCCGACTTAAGAATTATTCACTTATAGGCGGAGGCGTCTCTTATAGCATCATTTGTCTGGGATGCCTTATTAATTTGGACGTAGGCAGGGTTGGCTTGAAAGGAATGCGCGGTCGCTCAAAAATAGCTAGAAATCGCTTTTCAACGTAACGCAAACACCGATTTTTCAGTGCTGTGCTCGCCACTTAACTTCACCGTAGAGGCATTTGGCATTACTTATTATGTTTTTTAACGTATTTGTAAAAAGAATATTTCAGCAAGACCCTGCCCATGAAAAGAGTCTGAACGATGGATGGGTGCCTGGAAAGATTCTTTCGAGTACAGGGTGCCACATAATAACACTGGGCTCCGTTAGTGTACAGCCCATCCCAAGTCACATACGATAAGCTAATGAATACGTTGAGCTTCCTCATACAGGCCACATTTCCCACTGGCTTCCCACACCTTTCAATTATGTAGCCATAGTGCAAACATACAAATGATAGCTTTGGGTAATAACCTGCTTCAAGGCTTCTCACATGTCAATCACCCTTCTGCAAACTGGCAGAGGAAGTACAAACTCGTACGTTGCAGAATAGCGAAATGAAACTGAGACTGGGACTGGGCCGGGGGGCTGATTTCTGCTGCGTCCGTTACGGGTGTGCATTTGCTAAGGGTTCTTTGGCGGCCAGTCTGACCTGCTTGTATTCACCGATGATGGAGCCGTTCTTCTTGATCTCCGACTCCGACTTGTCCAATTCCCGTCTGCACATCTCCTTGAGCTGGAAACAGAGTCAAGTTTGAGAGAAAGATGAGGGATTGACCTCGACACTTTCCTGCAATTCCAACTGCATGACCTCGGTTGGTCCTCACAGTTGACCCCTACAGCCTACACACTGCGTGTCGTGTTTTATTGACTGCAGAAGGACTTATCATGCTTGCCCTTGAGTAAGTCAAAAGAGGATCGGTGGCAGTGCCGTGTCGTCTCAATAAGTGCGAAAGCCGATTGGACGCAGAATCTGCAAACAGGACAGCGTGTCCCCCCCCCCTCACCTGTGCCGATTCCTCCTCTAGTCGCCTCTTCTCATCCTCGGAGTCAACCAGCTTCTGCTTGGTCATCAGCAGCTCCTTGTTGAGGGCGTCGGCCTTCTCCTCCGCCTGCCGGATAGGTTACCGGGGGAGACGGGGGGGGGTGAGTACAGTTGTAGGGAATGGCGACTGGGCTGCGGGTTAAGGTGGTCTGGGAGGAAAGATGCAGTGCATCTTCATCGCATTGGAGCAAGATGGACAGGAGGCAAATGTGAGAAGGGAGTGAACTGGGCTCGTCATGGAGATGGGGATCTCACGCAAGCCAGCCACTGGCTCACAGCACTGCGGGGTAGACTAGGAATGGAGAAGCACACAGACAGCTTACAGATTAACTATCAGCGTGACAGTCACACGTAAATAAGCCGAGCTAGCTAAGCCTTTGCTCCCTGGGACCGGCTCTGCTGGTTTCATGAACACAGCAGGCAAAAGACCCAAACTGCCGGCCCCAAGCCAGGTGAACCAGACTCCAAACACAAGACAGAAACAGAACCCGTGGCGGGGGCCGACACTGTTGGCCTCTGAGAAGGTGCATCCTTTACCGTAATATCTGATGCCTTTTTATCTTGCATGACAGACACTGACCTCTTACACCTCTACATCTTCCAAACTGTTACGCTTAAGGTGGTGCGTCGGGGACAGAGATGAGCAAAATGATGTGGCCAGTTCTGATTCTGTCCCAAGTGTAATCACTCAGATGACTGAACTAGGAAGTCATCACACAGTGACCAGATGTCATCAGTAGAAATCTGTGGCTACAGCCTTCAATGTAACCCGCTGAATTCAAGAAGGGCCTATTGTAGACCAGAGTGTTTTAAGACGGGTCTTAGCAGCGGCTAAAAAAACATCTCAAGGTGTCATCAGAACAAAAAGCAGGAAGCGGCGGATGCGGCTGTCCACACTCACGTTGTCCAGGTCCTTGCGCAGGGCGATCTTGCTGCTGACCAGTTCGTGGGCCAGGTCGTCGTTCTCCTGCTCCAGTCGCATGTTGGCCTCCTGGAGTCGCCGGTTCTCCCTCTGAGGAGGAGAAGCCAAGTGGACTCGGCTTATTCCCCGTTTACGCCCCTCCCCCCCGGCAAAGGACCCGCAGCAGCCGCCGAAAGATATTCCTCGATGTAATATTTAACAGTTCTCATAAAGACAGGGCCTTTGAGAACCGCGCCTGAGATGTTGATTAAAAATTGACCAACTCGCTGGATGCCGAATGCACTCTGCAGGGTTTTCGGTGTTAGCCAGACCACACAGACCACCCTGATGGGGCGCCAAGCTGCCTAAAAATAACCGAATATAAAACTGCAGACTGGACACCGGAACTCTGGGAGGACACATGTGTCCCAGTGAGGCTACGTGAGCTGACAGGAGCCCGGCATGACTGATGTGCGTGTCTGAGCAGCCCGGTGACACCCACCCGCCATCTGCACCCCCACGTTTCCCAACACGCCAGCGGGATAGGCTTGCCTCATTAGCAGGCTCATCCTCATGGCCCGGTATGAAACCTGCCATTCTCTCAGGACCAGTTTAAATACAGAATGTATGGGGAGACCCTGTTTTTCTCGTACAGAAGGATGCCCTCTGCTGGCTAAACAGGCTAACTGACATGCCCGGGAAGGGCGGATTGGGCCGGACCCTGGCGTGACCATGGAAAAGGGGTCATCGGCACGTACCTCGTATCTCTCGATGGGCGCCTCCTGCTGGGCCTGCTGCTCCCGCATGGCATAGTACTCCTTCTCAAACTTCTTCAGCTTCTTTTGGCTAATCTATGGCATGGAGGAGAACGACTGTCAGGAGAGCAAGACGACACCAGGAGTATCCTTACGGCTGCGGGAGATCAAAAGCAGGTGCCAGAGTGAAGCCGTGACAGGAACCGGTTTCACCCAGATGGGTTCATCTCGTTCCCCTGCCCTATTTCTGCCATGTCGTGACTTGGCCCAGTTGTTCCTTCTGATGAGCTTTCTGGGGTTAGGCAAAGAAGAGTCTCGCTCAGAAACTCGCTGAGAGGACACCTTAGGACCAATTAACAGCAGAGTGCTTCACCTCTAAAGTTTCAGAGCTGTGAACCCCTTTGAGACCCTCACAGAGGTCACGGTGAGTGTTGTGTGTGGACAGGCCAGACAGCCAACAATCGGGCTGCTTAAGGGAGAGACTTCACCTCGGGGAGGCCATCCATCACCAAGTTGCAGAAATCTTTCCTCTCATTGTCTTTGTTCTAACCCAGTTTTCTGCAATTACACTCCTAGATATGCGCATTTGTCACGTTAAGCACCTCAATCAAGGGGCACCACCAAGGGCGTAGATTTCGGTGTGGACTGGGGGGGGGGGGGTTCGGTGCTGATTTGATTTTATTGTGGTGTGATGTAGAAACACAACCTACGCCCTTGGGCACCATAGTGAGGCCCAGAACTGGGGGTGGTATCACCAGGTCAGTTGTCTGGCATCAAAAGAACCTTCGTCTCCGATCCGCTTGGCCTGACGACACCCACGTCCTTCACTCAGCAGGGCAACGTGATCATTTAAGCTAATGGCTATTTTACCGAATTAATGGGCCAGAAATAAAACATATATTCTAGCCAAGGTATGACACATATTAAGGTTGGGGGTGAAAATCACCACCCTCTATTACGGTCCATGTTTTACGTTTAGAAGCCGATTTAAACGGCATAACAACCACACCGTGGAGCGCTGGGGCTTTTTTAGACACATTATTTTTAATCAACTATTACTGTAAATGACCCTCATTTACCGTGAGCGGCACAGAGTCTGGCCTGCTTGGCGGCAGCCGCGGTAGCTGCCACACGGCGGCGGTTCAGCTCCTCCTCAGCGGTGCATTTTGGCTTTAGTCTGATTCCCGTGGGGCCACCGAATCAAAGGCATCTGAGATACGAGAGCCAGCAAGCCTGTGATTGGCTGTCTGTGTGTTTGTTGGGGGGGGGGGGGTAGCCATTCCTTGCAGCACACTGAAGAAAGCCCCATGCCTTTGACCTCGCACTGCATGCTGGGATACCGACGGCAAGCCCCGCCCTGAGTAGTAGAAATAAATGTACTGATGGGGACCGGGGCTCAGCGGGAAGTGAATTTATTTCTGAAATACGTGCCCCCCCCCCAGGAGCCGGGACTGTTGGGCTGCTAGACCTCTAATGAGGAACAGTCGCTTGTGAGAGGACACCTTGCTCACAAAGTCAGCCTCAGTCACGGGAAACAGAGTCCTGCAAACTTGATGTCAACCCCCCCCCCCCCCCCACAAGCATAAAAGGTATCAAACCATGGCTGCAGCTGAATTAGGGGGGTTAGAGGAGATGTTTGTTTTTGAGACTTAGCCTTGAACGCAGGGGGTGTTGATGGAGATGGACTGAGAGGAGCTGTATCAGAGTAAATTAGAGTAAATTGGAGTAGATCGGCGGGGGGACGGGGACATTATCTGTCATGTTCCCCAGTGCTGCACTGACAGCTGTAGCAGGAGAGCAGCAAAAATGGGATGACATGCACCCTGAGCCTGGAATGCAGAGGGGGGGGGTGCTTTACATTTACACATCACCACCACCATATCAAGGTGTGAGCACAGACAGCTCTCTGCACAGAGCAGGCCGGGCTACCTGGGGAACAGCGTGCAGATCTGTACACCGAGCGGGGGCCCGTGTTCCAGGCCACAGAGAGGCTTTCCGGCTCGATCTAGGGCCGCATATTTAAGCATGACTCCTTATAACCAAGGTCAGCCGCATTTCAATGGGGTTTCAAAGCAAACCTCTGCCAAAGCAAGCACCCGTCAGCCGAGAGATTAAACACCTTCTAAAGAGCAATATTTACCTTTCTGCTGAATTTCGCCAGAGACACTTAAAACTCTTGACTGGGAAATCGGCAATGCTGCTAACATGTATTGCGTTTGTGGTCACCCGAGAACCAGCCTCGCTGAAAAACAAATGACGGACGCAGGAGATAATACACAGGACACTCAGAGCCGCACCCTAACGATGTATTGATTCACAGCTGCGCAGGTAACGCCTTGCCCTAACACCTCCGCGCCGTGTGCACCGGTGACACCAGCCCCGCCCACAGCAGCTGGCAGACGCGCCAACAGTCCTCCCTTATTCCCCTCTAGCGCAGGCAGGAGCAGCTAGCTAGGTCGCGTGGAGCACATCCAGAGAGCCACCTTCTCCCTGCCAGGCTCCGTTTCCGTCTCGCTTCCGGCTGGGAAATGGGAGCGGGTGACACCAGCGAAGAGGCACTGGGAAGCAGCGGGCAGCAGCCGCTCGCTGTCAGGGAGCTCTTTGTTCCCGGGCCTGATCCTTCTCACCTGGCTGGGGGGGTGTCACTCACCAGGGGCACCAGGAGGGCCGGGCAATCTCCCTAATCCCTGTCTAAAACTGACTGTCAGGCCCAGGCAAGCAGACCGATTCTCCGGGGACAGAGGTGTAAAGATCCAGTTTCAGCTGCCATTCTCTCTCAAACATGGCCGCCTGGCCACTATCCTCAGTGTCAGAGACAAAGCTCTAACCGGACAGATCATACACAGGAGTCAGCATATAAATCTGCACACGACCGCATCCACATCAGAGCCCAACGGGTAACAACGGTGGGCCACCTCAGTGGCGACTGTGGCTTTAAATCCCGGCAAAGTGACGATGCCGGCTGACTATTCGGTGAACGTCCCTGAGGACTAGTCCCACAAAAGTGCCACGAATGCCGTACCCAACCTGCGCAGGAGCAGAACGAGCCAGGTCAGTCCTGAGGTTGGGAGGGATCTGGCTGTGGATGGACTACGCCCTCTACTGGCAACTCCGGAGAGCATCAAGCATAAACGGGGGAACAACCACTTCTAACTACCAGAAAAACAACCTGCTTGGATTATTCCAAAGAATATATTCACAGATTTTTAAGGCAATTAAATTTATCCACAGTAGTATAACTTAAAAAAGGAGCAAGCAATGTCAGACAGCAATGTGCGTGCCTGTGACATACTCTGCCAAGGGAATCCCTTCTCTGCAACTCCGGAATAAAGTCTATTTTTACATGGCTGACAGACCTCCAGCCTGTTTTCCCGATGTTCCATATCGGACAGTCGGGCTTTGCCGTGTTCACCAGGGCCGAGCTCCTGACAGAGATGCGCAGTGAACATGCCGCATTGCAAGATGTACATTGGCATTACCTTCATGCTGCAGGCCAGCTCCATCAGCTTCTTGGCGTTCTCTTCGGACCGGTACCGCTTTGGGACGGGGACCCGAAAGAACTTCAGCGCCCCCTCGAAGTCCGTCTGGAGGAGGTCATCCTTCGAGGTCTGCAGGGAGGGACGTCGGAATGGACTGTAAACTGGATTCTGGGCTGACCGAATTGTGGGGCGCTGGCCCACACGCATTCTCTGAAATAAAGCCTGTGTGGGCTCGGCATGGCACTGACATCACGGCCCGTCGCCGTGACAACGGGGCTCTGTGGCCACACAGCTGCACAGTCCAGTGGGAAATAAAGGCATTTCTATGGCCTGAGCGCTGTTAGCATTGCCATTGCGAGCCCCGAGAAAGAGCCATTAGCGTTAGCGCTCCAAGCCCCAAGAAAGAGCCCTTAGCATTAGTGCTCCGAGCCCCGAAAAAGAGCCCTTAGCGTTAGCGCTCCGAGCCACGAGAAATTACCCCTTAGCATTAGTGCTCCGAGCGCCGAGAAAGAGCCCTTAACGTTAGCACTCCGAGGCCCGAGAAAGAGCCCTTAGCATTACTGTTCTGAGCCCTGAGAAAGAGCCGTTAGCGTTAGCGCTCTGAGCCCCGAGAAAGTGCCGATAGCGCTAGCGCTCTGAGCCCCAAGAAAGAGCCGTTAGCATTAGCGCTCTGAGCCCTGAGAAAGAGCCGTTAGCATTAGCACTCTGATGCCTGAGAAAGAGCCATTAGCGTTAGCAGCCCAAGCCCTGAGAAAGGATCCCTCACCAGGAGGGGGTGGGAGCCAGCCTTCAGGTGCGACCGGCAAGCCCGCAGGAACACACATGCCTTGGATGGACAGACACGGACTGACTTACCTTCAGGAGCGCCAGAGCAACATTGAAGATGACGCTGATGCCCTGGGGGAAGAAGGGAGAGGAGGTCAGTGGGCCACAGGGAGGGTATGAAGCGGGGCAAGGAGCAGGGCAGGCAGAGTGAGGCGTGGGACAGGATCACCCTGCAGTCACACTCCATATACGGCACCTTTATACTCCATAAACATTCACAGAGTCTACGCACCTACTGCTGCGCAGCTGTAATCTGCCCACTTCCTCCTAAATAAAAACACTCCGTCCCATCTGGCCTTTATTAGCATGTAAACCACAGCACTGGCTCCTTCACAGACTGCATATTCCATGGCGCCCCCTACCAGCGACTACAGGACTGGTAGTATTCCCATCTACATGCTGTAATGTAGGAGCGGCCTTTCTGAACTCATTCACAATAAAAATATGTGCTGTATATCATTTACAAAGTAATCACAAAGTGTGAACCTTGACGGAAAGGTCTCCTGGTGAAGCAGAGTGTATGTAAAACATACCAAGGCATGGTATGACGCCGCCCCCCTCACACACCTCACAGAGCAGAAGGTCGATAATGTGGAAGACCATGTAGAGAGGAAACTTGGCAGTGAAGAGCGTGAGGAACCATTGAGAAGCATACATGTGAGCCTCCAGGCTGACGTTCAGGAAGTGGCTGTACAGGTCTGGGATGTATTCCTGCGGGGGGAGAGATGTGAGAAAATGTTTATCCAAACCCCCACCCCCACACACACGTTTACCAATCAATCATCACATGCAATTTACATTCCTACGACACAAAAATACACATTTTGTATTCTTGGCAGGAACACTCCACACACACACACACACACACACACACACACACACACACACACACACAGAGTCTGTGTGGGTGTAATACAGGCGCTCAAATTCATCACTGAGACTCACACAGTATTATATAACCAAAGGAATTAAAGGTAACCACTAAAAATTAAAATTGAAAGCGGCATTCAATCTGCTGCTAAAGGAAAGCCTATTAGTTTAAGCGCTCGCTCAGGACAAAGAGCAGAACACAGTGTGTGATCTGAGGGTCAGAAGCCTCCATAATCCCATCATCTCATGAATAAGGCATGAAAGCACCTGCCTGCCTCCCGTCTCATTCCCTGGCTCCTGGCAAGCACAACAAACACCACTGTCAGCCATCAGTAAGCTGACCGACACCGCGAGAGGATGGAAGGGGGACGCGGGACACTGCGAGAGGATGGAAGGGGGACGCGGGACACTGCGAGAGGATGGAAGGGGGACGCGGGACACTG